ATATATATATCATATATATATATGCACATATATGTGTATATACATGTATGTGTACATCCAAACGTGCACATATATACATCAATGTACGAAGTATATGTGTATATGTATATGATATATACATATATACACTTATGTATACATACAACACGCATGTATATATATATATGTATACACCATGCACATCGAAATCTACATTGGCACGTAAACAAACAAATGATCAATGTATATGCACATACACATTTTTAAGCGCTAGTACAGTAACCATGACCCTGATACATCTGCATGTCTACTACCTGTACACCCATCTACCGATCTATCTTTAGGTTGATCTCTCTGTCTGTATCTCCTGATAGCTTGGTATACCTACCCAGCTACCAATCGTTCTATCCATACACATCCGGGTAGGTTTGCATGCATGGGTGCATATACATATACATATACATATATATATATATATTATGTACATATTATATACATACATATATATATATATATTATATTCATACACACACATATATATATACATGTGTGTGTGTGCATGTCAATGTATATGGTGTTCACATGTCTACCTACCTGCCTATCTATCTAACTAACTATCTATCTACCCAATAATCAAACTATCAACCGATCTATACACATATTTTTTGGCATGCACCTGTGCAGTAAACTTTCCTTCATGCCTTCGTACGTATGTACATCTGTATCCATGCCAATAGCTGTACATATACATACATACGTGTATCCGTACATACATACATACATACATACATACATACATTATACATACATATCCATACGTCCATATCTCCATACCGCCATATCTCTTGATCTCTATGTCTCTATCTATATGTAAGCATGCGATTAAATATGTGTGTGTGCATGCATGGATGCATGTATGAATGCAGATGTATATACATATACACATGTATTTGCATGTGGCGATTGTTATCTACTTAGCTTTCAATCTCTCTTTCTTGTATTCGTGTAACAATATACATGCATGAGTGAGTGTGTGTGTGTGTGTGTTTGACTGTAAAGCTGAACAGTGCTCTGCGCTTTGCACCGCAGCTGTTGAGTACTGCGACTTGCCCTGATGCGTCTCTTGGTGTGACTCTATATGTATTCAGCTACGGAATTGACCGTATTAACGCAGCGACGTATTCAAGCGTCGTCATCAAAGCCTACAGCTACACACCTGCTCCTTTCCGTCCATACTGTCTTTTTGGGGCGGTTTTACATCCAATTTCGGTCAAGTCGCTCAGACATTGCCCCATGGTAGCTCGCAAGCTGCTCTTCCAATTGCTCGGATGTGGTCCAATCGTCCCCGTCGTCATGCTTCTCGTCCGCATTCAGAAGCAGACCTCGGGTCAGCAAATTGTTTCGAAAATCCTACAGCATAGCATCCTTTTTAGCCCTGAAGCCACGGGGAACGGTCTTGGTTGTATGCCTCTTTGAATATCCTTGTTAGGCTTTTGTCTGTCAGTTGATAGGTTCAAACACTCAAAGCCGCATGTGCTTGCGGACCCACAATTCCTGAACATGTTACGCCCAAGCAGTACGTAACCGCAAGCCCGAGCCAAGAATTGAGGCTTGCGGTTTGAAGCCTGCAGCTTTGCTTCGAAGGGCTGGGAAAACCAATCGCCAGAGCCAAGATGAGCTGAAGGCTCTTTAAACGAGGTTTTTTGGGAATGTGTCTTTCAATGAGCGCATGCCGAGACGGGTATCTTTGGAACCAGCAGGTGGGGCACTCGCCTAGAAGTGAAACTCAGCGATCCACTTGAGGACACGTTCATCAAAATAAGTGCTGGATATCTTCTAATCCAAACCTAATTCATAAGCCTAATTCATCGACATGCACAGAGAAGGTACTTTCGTCTGGAAGTAAACACAGGGAACAAGGAACCCAAATTCTGACAAACACGATCCTCGAGTGCCGCTGAAGCGGCAAGTGTCCTCCACGATCTCCGGTGCGCACAAGGGCAAGAACCCCGATTCTTCTAACGACTCCTGGCTGGTGATGTGCTTGTGGAGCGGGGATTGAAGTTTCTGGCAGCTTCAGGCCCACAATCACGCAGAAGTCGCCGCGACCAGTAATTACTGCGACGACCAACGTCAACACCACCGGCACACTACGTCGCTGACCTAGGGAACCGATCTTGAAGACTTTTTGATTCGTAACTCCCTCCACTGGTCAATATGATCTCAAGTCTATGCGATAGTTTTCCTGCCAATGCAGAACATTTGCGTCGTGAAGAGTGCGGTCTGAAACTGCGCAAATATGTCCGAGCTGAGCGCGGTTGGCAGGATTCGAGTGGTTGATGTAAATTCAATGGCGGCCAGGGTTCCCAATGCCTCCTTGGAGACCACTAGCTCGATCCATCTGGTGAGCCATGGCCAAAGTGCGTGTTGTTTTGCGATTGCCATCAAACGAGCAGTGACAAGAAGCACACTCCTCAAACGATTAAAGGTTTCGAATCTGACATATGGCATGTTGTGCTGGTGAAGGGCTGCTATTATCATCAAAGTGCGACAGCTTGCGCAGTCTCGGCGAAGCCTCAACACGCCACGTTTGCCAGTAACTCACAAGGAGCTGGGTCTTGAGTTACTTTGTCTTGTGGTTTTGTGTGCGACATTGTTTTGTTTGCACGGCCCTTTTCCGCTCGCCGAATCCGGTTACCCGTTACAGGTCTGTAGACTTGCCCGCTGGGCGTTCAGACCCACAGTGAACAAGGCGTCCGAGGAACATCCACGAATCCACGAGGGAGCTCTACGCCCTTGTGCGATATTGTTTGAGGCGTCTGCCAAACGTTCTGGCGGTGCGGGCTTCGGGTTCGACGGCTTGGGCTCCGGCCTGAGCTGGAGTGTCTTGCCCCGCTCGCTTTGATGGAAACAAACTTTGTGACGGTGTCTTCCACCGCTGTGGTTCTGTCCCTGTGATGCAAGCAGCCAAAGATCCGAAGCGAGCAGAAGCTTCCGATCTCAGTTGAGGCCTACTGATCCAGAACGCCTTCTACTGGAAAAAGCCTATCCTCCAGAAACATGACACAACTCAGTAGACAATAATCCAAAGGAGTCAGAAACATAGCGCCCCTATTTACAAGGCTGCTTCACACGGAGTATGCCTAGAAAAAATTGAGGCTGCTGAAGCACAAAAAATTTGTATGGGCCGGCCGAAATTTGAACCCATCCATCTGTGTATGATGCATGACTGCGATCGCACCAAAGCTTCGTCAAAGTTAGGCATGCAATCCCAACATCACAACCCTGAAACCTCTTATGCCAACTCCCAGATCTCTAAACACTACCTTGAGGCCTGAACACTCCTAACTCTTAAATCTGACTCCCTGGTTTCCAACTCATTCAAGGCTCCGGGATCATGGCCACGCCGTCGTCGCTCGGGGTCGCGTCTCCTGTCGGTGCCCCGACGCCTTGCAGACAAGGGAGATGTTCAAACTTTTAGAGAAAGGCTTCTGGGGTTTGTATGGCTAATTATGATGTGGCTTCTATATCGGGTTTCGTGTTGCTACTGGACAGAAACTTCAAATCCAGAACCTCAAGCCCTCTGACAGCCTTCACGCCTGCAATCTCGGAACTTCCACGAAAACCTAAACCCAAAACCGTAAGAGAGAAGCCCTAGCCGGAGCCTCCATTGCCGAAGTCAAGCGCGGGCGCGACCTTCCGTGGGTCTCGCAGCGCCGCGGCTGCTACAGACAGGAGAGCGGCGACAGCACCCGACGTCCCTGAGAGATGGCTCCGTGGTTCTCCCCAAGCGCACCGAATCTACTCTGTCAGACGTAAGCTTTCAAAGGCCCCTCATCACGAACTTCCTGTCTTTCACATGTAATGGCACGGCGGACTAAGATGCCAAGTGGGGGTTTGCTTCCGTCGTGAGAATCCGGGGCATAGACTTGTTCTTGCTGGGTCTGGAAGTTTGTCAAGAGCTTTTCAGAGTTAAGTTTATGACAGTTTATGATACACGCTTAGGCCAGACCCCTTTCACCCGGTCATATTCTTGTAAGAGCACTTTCTGCACATCAAGCATAGTGGAGGCCCAAAGCAAAGCAGAGCCGGAATTCCAACAACATCGACACCGCAGGGGTCCCTTGAAAAATGTTTTTTAACATAAACTGTGGTGCTGATGATGCTGATGGTGATGATACTTCGGAGGGGAGAAAACTACGGCACTACGGCTCACTATGAGCATGCTTGCGGGTAACATTGCTGACGGTGAAGTCTGATAGTGACCAGGTTCATGAGGATGCTGATGACAGCAGGACAACTTTCTATCCTGATAATGACTGAGTCTTGACCAGCATCGTCATGATTATCAGTGGGCAACATCGGAGCAAATATACAGTGCGATGGTTTTACCAGGCAGTCTTTACACTTCCGGATTGGGCGACCCCTCATGGTGGTTGGCCACTGACCTGGGCTCCAAAAACTTCTCGGAAGCCTCCAATGCAATGCCCAACCTCTTCCAAATGCGGCGGGGAGTCTGAGGCTCCGCGGCTGCATGTGATCAAAAATGAACTGCGTAAGTGGTTCTCAAGCTACTGGGCTAGGTGGCTGTACACAGCTGCGGGAGCGGGCGGTTGTTTCCGACCCATGCTGCGATCGGAGCAGTGTAAGCCAGGACATCGCAGTGAGCATCATACAGGCTGGCCCTGAACAGTCAGAATCGGCACGAACAGACAGACCTTGCAAAGCAGCCATCTTGCATATCAAGCATATCCTTGCAGCTTCAAGCGAGGAGAGCTGCTCTGTAGTTATGCAAGCAACCTGGGGGAAAATCCTAGCAGTTATCGCAGTTTGAGTTTGGAGCAGTCGGGAAGCAATAAGGGGTCAGGGCTCGGCAAACAGCTCGATCCCGAAAACCTTGTAACCCCGCNNCCCCCCCCCCCCCCCCCCCCGCACCTTACACACCCCACATCGCCCCAACAGATCAAGAAAGCCATCCACCCGACAACCCTGCGACTTCATCATGTGCAGTGTGTTCAATCACCAAGCATGCCTGTGACTCGACTTCTTTCCAACCCTGAACCTGAACATTCCAAACATCGAAGAGGTTTCAGCGTTTTAACTCCCAGACCCGAAACGCCACACCGAAGATACAGAAGCCCGAAGCCGCCTCACGCAGCCGTACACACAAACACTTGCAGACAAACTACGCGCTTACCATGATCGCGGTTGCTATGACCGAACGATACTCACCTCACGTCGTAGAGAGGAAGCCTGCTAGGCCTCGCAAGATGCTCTAACGGACCCTGGGGGCGCCTTTGGGGCGCCGTCAGGACGAGGCCCCAGGGCCCCAGCGCAGACTCCAGGAGCCCCGAGCGACCAGCTGAGGCGGGAGGGGGGAAAGGAGGGGCCCCATAGCGCTGCGGATGTCTATATAGGTATGTGTGTAACAGATCCATGTTCTAAAGCCCTAGGACGTCTCGTTTTCTTCTCGAGGGCCGGGTGGGGTTGGCATTGAAGGGCCGCTTTGCGAAGAGAACTGCGTGTTCGCTTGTCGGAACATCTACTTCGATGACGTTGCAGTGCTGCAGCAAGAAGTGGGCACACGAAACCCTATTAGTCACCCATAACTACCCCAATTTTCCCTGCCCGCAAAGTCTGAATCTGCAGCCATGCAGCCGTCCGGATCCCTCGGAATCGAGTCGTGCTGAGGACCGGGGTCGAACCAAGATCAGACTGTAACAAGGGGGGTTGGTTTTGCTAGTAAGGCCCAGTGTTTCGAGAAGCTCAGAGGAGCCATGACGAAATGAAGGGAACTCACTGATTCAGGATAATCCTGGTTGCAATCGGTCGCATTGTACAGTGCTTCAGTGACTTCGGCCTCGACACACCTGCAAGTGCGGCCGAGCCACGACTCATCCACGTGGACGTTCGACTCAAGCATGCCAAAGTCCTCACGCAGGGGGATATCTTCATCTTGAGCTCTGTATATTTTAGAAATCTGCAAAGGCAGATGATGTTTGGGAATAGGTTCCCAAGAAAGGGGTGGCACGCGCAGAGTACCTGCCAGTGGCATTGGCTTCGTGACGGATTTTGGCTGGGGGCTCAGGGAGCTGTTTGCATGGCTGGACGGGAGGTGTTGCAACCAAACAAACACCTGAATTTGACATCCACAAACTCACAAGTTCCCAAACAGGCTTCAAAGTCCCACAGCTCAAACCCGACACTCCCTTCCTTCGGAGCGTCAGGAGCCGTCATGCAACCTATTCTGGCCACTCAGGAATGGAGGCCTTCCCAATCCGACTCAAGGATACGTAACCAGGCCTATCGCTGGCCGAAGGTGCGGCGGGCCAACGAGGGTACGTGAGCACAAAAAGCCCTGCTCTGGGTGGCCCTGGGGAGGGCTGCCACGATCCATCCCCCAATGTGGCCAACACAAATCATGCATGGATGAATCACCAGCCCTGCGCAAACAAGAAATGTGCTCTTGGTCCTTCTTGTAGCGGCGCATCTGTGCCGCCTTGCAAGCCCTGCCAAAACTGCTTCTTGTTTCACGCATGCTCGGCAGGCTGTGGTGAACTCTGTGACATTCTCTGGGCCACAGGGTCATTCGCGGACAGCAAGGAACCGCTCAGCCTGAACGTGCACTCCAATGGAGGCGGATCATCTTTTTGTTGGATGGCCTGCCTGGGAGAAGCTTAGATTTCAGTCTTGGAGTCACAATTACTGCCGATTTGCATCGGTATCAAAGATCTTGTAGGTTTCCTAGGCATGACACAGTTCTCATCTGCACTGGGCTTCGGATTCAAAGTTAAAAAGGGCATGATGCAGTCCTTCAACTCCAGCTAGTCTCAAAGGTCGCGGGGTGGTCAAGAAGGGCGAGCATGCAAGCTCTGCATAATCTCAGCTCACGACCAGTGTTGTCACACGATTAATGTTCTGTCTTGTAATCATCATTGTTCTTCTTCAGGACTTGGGAGTGTGGGATTCCTGCAGAGGTCCCTTATTCGGGGGGTCCTGAAACCAAGGATCTGAAGCTTACCACGTTGCAAACCCGATAAACTACTCATCAACCCAAAAACGAGGGCCTGGACCTTAAACCCACTGGTCGACACCGAAGCACCGAATGAAGGACCTCGCTGCGGCAAGCGAAAGCACCCTGTTTCAGGTTCAAGAATTTCAGGGAGGGGCACCCAATTCTGTAGAGTTTAAGCTTAAGCTTTTGCTTTGCCAAGGCCGGAGCTCGATTTCCTTTGCCTGGACGTTGGGCTGGCTGCCTGGGTTCTGGGTTTAGGGCCGCTAGTTTTGGAAAGTTGCAAGCCCAGGCCATCCGAAAACCGAATGGCACGACAAACCCTCGGAACCCTGATGCCTACAACGCTTAACCTGCGAAACCTCAAGCACTGAAGCGCCAATTCCGATCCCCTAGATCCCCGAGGGTTGTGCCACCTATGCTTTTTTTGTTTTCACAACCCTGCCACACCGCCGGCCCATGTCCTACACCTTTCCTGAAGAGCTCCGATTCGGTTCACTTCTCAGTTGGAGCATGAAGATGAAGACTGGAGAACATGGTTCTGGGGCTCGGGGTTCAGGATTGCAGGCTCGGGGTATTTTGTTGCTATTCGAAACTGATTCAGAATTGTTTAGGTCAGAACTACAGTTACAGGGTTCAAATTTCGAGCTTGCTTGGAGCTCAGGTGTACAGTGCTCGACGCTACAAACCTTCTAATTCTCACAAGCCCCGCGCTGTGCCGATATCCTTTCGGAGTTGATCCCCTAGCATTCTGAGCTTTACAGGGCTGAGCGGTAGGGCGCAGGATTTCGCGTGAAGAGGTTCGGCTTGCAGCCTCCAGGCTTTACGACCTTACCCCCGGGCTTCATGTCCCCGCCAACCAGGCGTGGTGGGGTTTTACCAAACCTGGCGGGATTTAGCTTTACGGGTCTACTCGCCGTCACACTGTCGGCTAGAAGCCTTGGTCTCCAAAGGCCTCCGGCCAAAAAGGCCTGAACATCCCAGACAGACTCGGCAGATCTCTTCAAAACCCTCAATAGAGTGGGCTCCCCCTCCTAATCCCCAAACCCATCAATCCCAGTCGACCGCACCGACATGTAAGGATGCCCTAAATGCTACATCTAGTTGTTGGGGACGGCTGATTGCCTGGTTAATTAAGCCCACTGCGGAATAGCGCGCACTAGGAGCCGTAACTTCCCAATCCCTATACCCTAAACTGGTTTGGAGTAGAGCTGCGGTATTTTCCAGCTGCCCTTAGCCTCAGCAGAGTGTCTGAAACACGCTTCGCTGGAAAAGGCCTTTCTTAGCACACTCGGACATCCCTGCTCTGGGCTGTCCCTGTGTTGAAACATGCTGTCATCCGAGGGGAGAGGGTGCCGTCCAACATTCAAGATTCGGGTCCCCGTTTGGGTATATGCTCCTTGGGGGCTCCCCAGTAGATCCTGAAGGTTCTTGCGGCGGCTCTAGGGATATCAAGACACTTTGCAGGGCGTGAATTGGCAGCTGACTTCACTAGCAACGAGTGTTGGCCTAAGCCTAGCGCCTTGCCAGTGTAGCTGCTGCTATTCACAGACTGAAGGTAGTCGCAACCGAAGCAAAACCCCACTACGACTTTGGTCTATCCCGAGCTACCTCAGGAAGCTGTGCCGCGAAGCCTGTTTGCAACTTCGTCTCAGCATCTTCGAAGTCTGTGCCAGGAGTCTTCTACCCTCCAACCGACAAATATGAAATCCTGAACCTAGTCGGCAAACCCTGATTCCTTCCCTCGAAAGCTCCAACCAAGCAGCTGAATCTCCTCCACTCGCTTCATCTCTACCTGCCCATGCGCGTGCATGGCGTCGATATATCCGTTCGACTTGATGCATATGGTTGCGATGTCGATGTCGGGAACACAACATACAAATAGCAATGATCACGATGGTGCTGGTGGTGGTGGTGGTGCCGGCGGTGGTGGT